GCAGCTTTGGCAGTCATGTCACATTTATCAGTGAGATGGTACGCAGCGGTGTAAAAGCACCTTGCCTAATTTCATAACATCAATCAAAAATGATCTTCTAGTTGTGCAACAGCGTAGGGCAGGTTAAGAACTGCACGCAGCCAGGCGGGGCAGACAGTTCCCGACATGGCTTAGCATACTCCGCCTCTAGAACCTTTAAGAACAAATATCCACTCGTGATCAAATGATTATACAGTAATCCGGAGTGTTAAACAACTTAACACTCATGTACACACTGAGATTGAAGTTACTGAATTGTCTTCTTGTGAGGGCTCCACAGTAAATCATATCTCAGACTGCACCTCTCAGTGTCAGCCCTCCACCAGTGCCCACTCTACTCTGAAATTATATTGACACTTTGTCAGCAACACCTCGTGCAATAACTCTGACTTTACCATCGGTCTCAACAACAATAGATTAAAGGGATGGCTGACCCAGCAGGCTTAAAATGACACCTCAGCCTCTCATTCTACAAATCCACCTTGACTTCCTTTGTGATCCTGATCCTGTTCAACTCTCAGGTGCCTAACATAATGGTCTCCAGAAAATCCATTGTGCCATGATAGTTAAAAGTTGCGTGAATGACACTGATGTTTAACATAGCAACCAAAAAAATGGTTTTACATGCAGCTAAATACGTTCATTTTTGCAATCCCAGAGCGTCCGTGTATTTTCTGTTGGTGATTTAAACCTATCACAGCGCAGTTCCCTCATATAGCATAGCCCGAGGCATAATACAGCAGTGATAGCCAGGTGGAAATGGTTAGAAAAGCAATCCCACGCCTAAGGGGCACTGATTTTGAGGAGTGAGCAAAATGCAGGAATGGTCAAGGTATACTGGTATGCACCTGTGCTCAGGCAGGGAACATGCTCACAGCTACAGTTGTGCTTGACAGCTGTCTGTCTATTTGTATTAAAAAAAAGTCTAAAATGAACAATAGTATAAAGTATAAAACTTAAATGTTAGATATTTAATGTACCCACTAGATGGTGGTGTTCCTGGAAAAACTGAGTGAGCGTCCATTCTATCAAAGCCTACAAATGTTTGACACAAAGGTACCCTAGGTCATAACTTACCGTAGCCTCATTTCCAAAACCTCACAGAAATGTTTTTTAAATTATATTTCATTCATTTTCAGCATGGAGTCTGTGTATTTAGGATAGGGACCAAAAAATATGTTATATATGTCTAAATTATTCATTCAGTCATTAGCTTGTGGTAAGCAAAAACAAAGGTTTAAACCAACTGCATGGTTAAACTAAAAGTCTTTCATGATGAAATGCACAGAGTTAAACAACATGTCCCTAAATATCAGCATTTTTTATGTATACTTCTGAGGAGGAAGAGGCCTTGTTTGTTTTTTTCTCTCCAATTTGTTGCATCACTGCGTCTTTGTGGAATTGTGGGAATTGGCAGGCATTAGCCATTAAGACCCAGTGGGTGCAAATCTATTAACATTCAGACAGTGCTGCAGTAATGAGAGCTGCTCTGAGCCAGCTGCAGCCTCCTGAGGCATGGTCACTGAAACCTCAATAACCAGAGGAACAGAGCCACCTCTTTATATTTTACTTTCATCAGTGAGCAGAAGTTGTTCAACCACACTGGACGCCTTTCGTGTTCGGTCATTGTTTTCTAACACATTCTTTGGTTTGTTTTACTCTTGATTAAGGTTTCTTTTGAGGCACTGTCTCCTGCATTTAAATTCACTCTCTCCCTTTCAGCATATTGTGCTGTGGGTTGGGTAGGTTGGGAGGCTCCAAATCGATGTGTCACAGTTCTGTGCCAGATAATACTTATTATGAGAATGAATGGAGGGGAAGTTAGAGAACAACAGGAAATGAAAATAGGGAAATATGTTAATTTCTACTGGTGGCACAAAATAACAGAATACTGTACTTTGCACTTTGAATATATGGGCTACTTATACTTGTAGGCTACAAAGAAAATCCTGTCATACAGTAGATTCACATTAGAACATATGTAATTGTTTAATGGGACAGCATGTGTCCTCGGGGAAACCAGTTGAGATGATTGAGTGTACAGATATGACTGTCATCACTTATATGAATTAAATCTGCAGTCACTCATTTATTATTATACAGCAATAAGTGAAATTGGAGTATTTGTGTACTGTATTAACATGCCATCTCAGCCTTTATTTTCAGATGCTTATAAGTAAGTACATGTATTTGTACTGGAGTATAGTTTTATACGCCTACTTCACCTCATTTTAAATGCAAGTGTTGTATGTTTTACTCCACCATATTTAGTAGACAGCTATACTATGATCTGTAGATGAATATTTTACATAGAAAACACAATTGGCTTATAAAATATGATTCATTAGTATTGTACACACTAATGAAAACATGTCTATGCAGGATTTTTACTTGAAATGGAAGCTTTTTACATTGTGACATTAACTAAAAAAAGAAGAAGAAGTAATTAAAACAAGTTAACTTTCTTCACATTGTAAAACCGCACTTAGACATTGCTTGAAAAAAAAAAGAAAAAGAAAAACAGGACTATACGGACATATTGCTGGTTTGGCCTGTGCGGATGACATCATTGATTGATCGTTCACAGAAAACGTCCACGAAGCTGTGTCATGGAAACATGATTGACACTTCCCTCTCTCTCTCTCAGTCAATGCTGTCTACATGTGGGTGGGGGGGGCTGTCCGTTGCCTCTTTTGTCGTCACCCGCCCACCGTCCCCCCTCCAGGCGTCAGTGACGTGCAGCGAGAGAGCGGG